ACTTCTCCAGAAATCGCGGGATTCGTAAAGACATTGATGGACCAATATAGGTACAATGAACGTTATATAATTTTTATAGCAACTAATCAGACGTACTGATACATGTGTTATATTAAAGATGTACTTATTATAAGTTACATGTTATACCATGCCCGCAATACTTTGTGCAACAAGCCGTTTTTTTGGTAAAACTGGTAACTTATGTTTATATTTCAAGCAAAGGAGAAATATATTTTGACTCAAGAAACATGAAGCAAGTGAGAGATTTAGAATTTACTTAACGAGGAAATTCGTGATTTATAAAAGTCATCTAGCACTGTCAAGATCTCAAAAACTTGTATACTACGATGAGGCTGAAATACAAATACAATGGGCGAGACAAGTAATGCATAGCGATAAGCACAAAATTTTAATGGCAAACGTCTTCGAAAACATCCATTTAAGAGACAGAAAGGATAACATTTAGGCAGATTTTAGGGACATGTCTTGTGAGACTTGTTCAAGATCATGATTAATGGCAGCCTTTTGTGTTAAGTTAAATCTTCGAGTTCAGTTGCCACAGTGTTAGTTTTAATTAATTCTGTGGCGTAGGGGTTATAACAGACCAAAACAAAAATGTATTTGACAATTTTCAGTGCGGAACTCCAATATCAGACATTGTCGAAATCCGTTCAGTACTTTCGGAGACAAATAATTCCGGAAGACAGACGGTCAGACAATTATTCCCATTTTTCATTATGTGTATACATTCCACACGCCCTGTAAAAAAAAAAAGTTCCGTGAATTCTCAAACTTGCGTTCAGAGACACCAAAACACATTTTACGCACTGCAGATTTTCATAAATGTTCTCTCTGCATGCCGGGCTAGAGTAACTGCAACTAAAGAAACGAAACTGAGGTTCAACTGAAGACGCTGAAGGTCACCGAACTATAAATTTTGTGACGCCATTAAAAGTAATTTGTATGTACTGCACTTGGGGATAAACGAACGTCTGCCTGATTTACGGGTGCAGTTCAGAATATGGCAATAAATATTGCAACTGGACAATTAAAACTAAGCCATTTCTCTTTCTTTTTTTTACAGTTCTTGAGATACCAGGATGTCCTTGATTTTCTTAAGAAGTTGTTGTTACTGACGACAACATGAACCATGATGAAGGCAACAATAACGTCGGTAAACTGTTACGAGACTGCACTGCGCAACATCAGGTCTGAACACTGTTACAAATATGAGTTTCAATAAATTAATGGATTAGTTCTGCTGTTTATTATAAAAAAACAAAGCAATTAAACATTCTATTAAAGAAGGCAGTATACATAAGTGCCTCGGCCATATAAAGCGTCAAGGTAAATTCTACATGTAAGAGGCCGAGGTCAGTTAAAATTGTCTGTTTATCTGTACGCCAAGTCACGGCACATGACATGCGTGTATTTCATAAATATTTTAATGGAAATTCTAAACACATTTTAAGGTCAAAAATATATTTATTTAACCATCTTGTCAGTACTGCCTGAATTTGTTTTAAACATGTTAATTTATAAACATAACTTTCTAAACTTTAACGAACTCTGCAAATAATAATAAATAATACGTCGAAAACACTAACAAACATTCTTTCATACAACGTGTGACTGAATCGAATGATTCTGCTACGAGGCAAATAGGATTTTCTCTCCTTCTCATATTTGAAGCTAAAGTCAAAAATAAGGATTTGTTTGACAGAATTTGTGGACGAGCTGTGTGCAATGCGACCGCGACAAATTTACGTTGCATTGAATCTATTATGACGTTGCGCTAAGCCAACCAGTGACTTTGAGCTTCTTAATAATCATTACACAACCTTAGTACAATGTCGACTTGCTACAAAAGTATTTTTCCTACAGCTACGAACCGTAGTTTGCATCGATCCTACACATATTAAATTGGCTAGTGTTCACCGTTTTAAATAATTAAAAAAAATGTGTTGCGTGTCTTAATTTGTTCGGCTAGATAAATAAATTGCCTTTGTACTCCAGCAGGTATTATTATGATGATCAAATCAAGGAAGACAACGGACCAAGGAATGCGTAGCGGAGAGGATAATATTAATATGGCCATTATTTTAAATAGAGTGAAAGGGCGCGGATTGAATTTATGTGGCTCAGCACTGGAACTGATGGCGTCGAGCGCTTGAGAACAAAGTAATAAACCTTCGGATTCCATTAAATGATGGAATTGCTCAGCCTAGGCAAATCCTCAACTTCTCAAGATCGACTCTGTTCCAGGTATGAATAAAGTTTAAGTTCATCGCCATACTGAGCAAGCTGGTGTAGCGAGAAATCTCTGGGCCTGAATTCGAGGGTAACTAGTTCAAATCATCACCGGGTTACCAGTTATAATAATTAATGTCTCCCGAACTTTCACCCAGTTTCATTATGCGAAAGCCGGCATAGTGCTTTTACACAAAACCGCCTCCTTCTTAATTCTACCTATTCACTATATAGAACAATATCCTCTCGGCGCTAGCAGAAACAGTTTGACCTATTATCACCACTAAATGTCAACTGGGTTCCCCTGTGATGAAACCGGCATGGACTGGCTCAGCAGATGGGTGGGTGATTCGCATTCAGAAGGCATCTTCGTACTTTCCTTCTCCCCTGGCAAAAGCCGGACAGTCATTTAAAATAAGCCACGACAGTTCCTTCCCTCCTCTACACATTCAACATCAACATCTCACTCGACACTACATAACATTAGCAAGGATGTGTTGAGAAGATATTGCGGCCTATTGTAAGGAAGTAGTTCAAGACTTTACTAGATAGAATTAGTAAAATCACGCGAAACAGCAGCCAGAATTCAGGTTCGCGGCAGAAATTCGAAAAGTGTACATCCTGAATACGCGTTACCTCTGTTCCAACCGGCTCGATCTTAAGCAGTTTGTATCTTGTAACAAAAGTTACTTTCACCGCCTCCTTCCACACGCAGCCACCGACCGGCGGTTAAAATGCAGCACGGCAGGTTTTCAAACCGTCTCTTCAACCGAATGCTCTAAAACGTCAGAACCGTCCCTAAGGGCGAGCCGAGCCGAAACGGAGGCATCTTGCGCCCTCTTAATACGTTTACCTCGCCAAACGGTACATAACAAGTTTTTATGGCAGTTAGTAATTCACCGTGGTCACACCGTGTCGAAATGATAAAAAATTAATAAAGCAAAAATAGTTGTTTCCTCAAAATTCTCTGGCGATCTATTTTGTGCATCACAAGAACGGCTTCACGAATCATCAAGTGATTTATTAACCGAATAGAAAGAACAGACTGCATGTCATCCTTGTACTTACGCCATTTTTGTACTGCAATTCTTCCATAAAAGACACTGAAAGACGTCTACATAATACAACTATATGCGAAAAATACGTCCCGATTCATCGTGCATAAACGCATTTTTGCAACACGTAAATCCGAACAGGTGACGCTCCGTGTAAACCAACTGAATCCACGCAAAAGTTTCTTCGCGAGTTTCCTTACACCCACCAGAAGATGGCAGAAAAACTGCAAACTCTTCCTCCCATACCTCCCCCTTCATTACACCAATTCACTGGTTACATTTAAGACCAGACATCGATATGAAAGTGTGATATAAAACCCAGCAATAATAACCTATCAAGTGGCCTTAGTACTTCAATGGTATTTACGTGCAATCAGAATCTGAACGGATTTTTACTCCACAAAATCACTTTCGTAGCATGATTGCAGAGAGAAAACTTTTTTTAGTATATTTTGCATATGCTTATAAATAGAAACATGTGTAGGCTTTATCAATCCTTGTAGCATACTACGGAGATTAACAGCAATACAGTATAAAACACTAGTTACGAAACAAGACAGGAACTATGTAATCTGTACCTCTAACAGCACAGAATTTCTACGTGCGTTCTTTGTATTGGTATTCTGCATGTCCGTGGGTGTTCCGAGCAGCTTTCATACAGACGGTAACGTATTATAAATAAAAAAACTGAGCACAATCCAATTTATGCAGTTCCCGCTATCAGGCGCACTATATCACAAAAAAAAACAAGACTACGCGTTTCAAATGTTAATTATTTTTTGCCTTCCTGCTATTCTGTTTCATTTGTCAGAACATGGCTGTTGAGAGAGTTGCACTGTAAACACGGGTCCTTAATGCTATATTTCTATACTGGAAATTACTCAATACGTGTGTAATATATGTTAAGTGCTATCTTCATCTGTTAATATCAAAGAAAGCATTCACAAATCGAAAGGTTTACAATCTCGATCAAACAACTTTAATTTCAGACTCATTTATAATACACGCCTATGTTATGCTATGCTATTGCACAAGAAAGTATAGGCCTGCTTCTACGGTGTAGAACTTATAAAACTTAAAATATCCTTCAAAAAATTAGAAGGTCCTCTATACCAAATTTAATTAAAATCCATCCTGCGGTTTTCAAGCTGAAACGTGGATCGACGGACAGACACAATAACACAATACAATATCGACAAGTGGTCCTTGTATTTAACCCCACTACTACAATCTAAAATGAAGAACGTATGTATGCCATTTCTCCACTACAGCTGGTTAAAATAAAGAAACAGGCATCGATGTAACCCTATTAAATAAAAGCCAAGCCATAATGATGTTCCAATTCGACTGAATATTTTAATAATCCCTAGTTTGTTTGTTTTTTGTTTGTTTTTTTGTCCCAGTAAAGTGCAGTCAAATAGTTTACTCAGAAACGGTATTAATGGTCTGCTACGATTTACAGCAGAATACTAAAATGTAAACAAAACATCTGTTAAAACAGAGCAAACCATCTTTGTTCGCTGAATAAACCGCAACGACAGAGTTCTCTTATAACCCCTGGAAAAAAATCACCTTTAACAATATTAGAGATCTTCAACACGATACCTAGCAGACACATATGATGAAACTATGCACACTGCGCACATTTCTAAAATTCTCACCCCCTTCCCCAAGTCAATGCATTATCTTTCGACACACTCTTACACACTACATGTGAAGGTCTTTTGTTGTAGCGAGCAACATAACTTTTAACCCAACGTATTAAACGTCAATAGATCTCTGCGTGCACGTTATTTTGTTGACGTTTCACTCGCCAACAGCTGAACGTACGGTACGCCTACGAATGACATATCCTTTTACCTTCGCTTGTTCAAAACATATATATATTGATTTCCTCAAAAAGCTACACTAAAGCGTGCTTGAACAAATGGTAATTGATTTTCGTACTCACCTCAGATGTCCCTCATTCAGTTTTTTCAGAAATACACCGAAATTCTACACATACTGAAACACAACACCCGCACTAGCAGCCATCATCCATGAGAATCTCTTCACACAGTCTGTACGGAACCCTGCCGTGATAGAATGTAGTTCACAACATCAACAGGTTTTTAACTGCTCTTCAAACAAAATATTAAACTACTAGATGATATGTGACTGGACAAATATTATTCCTGCCTCCAATACCTCAACCGGATCCACGTGCAATTACCATTGTGGACTGCGTAATCATACTCGCACAGATTCACACAATGTCTGACATCATTCAATATGGCTGCCGGCGTTGATGGCAGGCGAGGGGAGTGACTGTCAGAAGTGTCAATGTGTGCTTTTACGAAGTTAACGCAAATAAAATGAAATGTTGTTAAAAATGTAATAGTTACGCGACAGAGTTGATTCTGTTAGTTGAATTTAGTGTTAATTGAGTCAGTAAGTATATTACTAAAATCGATTATGGATTTGTTCTAACCTATTCCGTACAAACTGTCATGCATATAATGTGTGACACAAATCATATATAAACGCACATACACACGCACATATGAATGAGATATCGTAAAAATTGATGTCTTCCTTTTGTATACTAAAGCTGCATTGATTTATTAGCATAACGCAAGAGAACAGAAAATTGTTTTAACATAGGTATAGGTTAGAATGAAGGTAAGGAGATTTTATTTCTTGAATTATTTATGTTTTGTGCATGTAACAGTCTTAAAAAGAGAAGCTATTTCGGTACCGGTTTAGTGGGATTGAATTTATGTGTAAAAATACGTATGCACATATTTCGGTATAAATCAGCTGTGACACTGACGTCTTGGTATTACAAACAGCGGTCTGTAGATGGAAGAAGTAATCATATGATGTAGGCGGTTCCATCTAGTGCAGACGAAGTGAACGTAAAGAAGTGTGTGTGTGTGCGTGCGAAATAGTGGTACTGTTTGTAACTGTATCTTGAGACTTGCAAGGAATGCAGGAAATCCGAAGCTTTTTAAGGCTACTGCATGGCATACGCTATCTTTCCCCCTTCACCCCACTGACAAAAACCGCAAGTCAAAAGATTACAGTAGCGAACAGCAGTATCATTTAAGGATTTCCAGCAGGTGGTGTGCCATTGTCTAGTTCAGTGATTTGCAGTCTTTGCAGGCACATACCGTACAACAAAAGAAAAATTTCACAGAATGTCAAACATCAAAGCCCAGTGACATGACGTACATTGGTACCAAATTTGTATCTCATCTCAGAGTATGCCCAAAGAGGTTATTCACACTTTTACTCAGTCATTCCAGCTACAGTGTGTTAAGGAACTGTCTCAGCACAGCTCATAGTGTTTATGCTTTCATCTAATTAGTTTTCCTTTAACCTTTACTGATTGTGCTTCACATCTTGGGAGCAGATCAGCAGCCCATGGATCACAATAGCATACCCATTAATTCCACAGTTCAAGGCTTGCAATGAGCCCTGTGGTATGGGGATTTAAATCCCTATTCCCATATCATAAAGGTTAAGTATCTGGAATGTTTTTACATTAATATCTTTGGTGGGGAATAGTATGATGTGCACATTTCAAAATAATATCAACTGTTTTGCCTACCGTTAAAAGAGTACATGACATTTTTACACATTGTTTCCATATTACAAAAACAATC